TTGAATTTATGGTAAGTAGAAAAAGAGAAGAAGGGAACGAGGGTGAAAAATTAACAAGTCAGATTTCCCCTTCTGGCTCTGAATTCACGAACTGCTCTGAACTTAGGCCCCCTACGGAGCTTCATGCTTCATTCCCCCTTCCAATTGCGTGATCATCCTTTTTCACTTACATCCCCTCGTCCTTTTGTCTGTGTGCTCTCACACTTTTCCCATGGGAGACAAGAAGCATATACATAATGTCAGAGTGTCCCCAGTAACTTAACGAATATAACGAAATTATGGTATTCTACTCAGGATAGTTACGCGGGATAAAAGTTTAAATTCCAGAGAAATGACTATTTTGGTAAATTGATGGTAAGTGTTCAATAGAGGAATTCGGAAAGAAAAATCGTGGAATGAATTGGAATGGATGAATTTATAGTTTCAAAGACAACATGATATTGAAATTAAATCAAGATGCAAATATAAACATTTCGTCAGTACCGACAAATCGCCTGCCCACTGACAGATTCGTGTTCCTTGAATACGAGAAAATGTTGGAAAAATGTTTCCCACCAGTTCTTAAATTATTATCATTGAGAATAGTCATAAGGATGTGACAACAGCGCATCTGGTTCTAGAGGAACACGCATGGTCTGATGTAAATAATTAGTTATAGTACTGATTAACATATTTGTAATGTTATTCAAGATAAAACACAATTCGATTTTACTTTCGAAATGTTGAACAGACTGTTATTCACTGAACAGAGTAGCAAAGCATCCTTTTTTATTTGTATCGTGTTGTGTCTCGGTGAAAATACTCGAAGCTATAGATGCTGTCACATGTCTTCAGTTTCCCTTCACTACTCTTTGGCATCAAAAAACACGCTTTCAATTGGCCTATCCTAGCTGTATTATTTACAAACGGTAGATATCTAGTGTAGCCCCACTACAAATTATGCTTCGAAAATATTTAACTTCCTCTGGTTCACTCGGGTTAGCCCACCACCCCTTAAAAGAGTCATTACCTGCTAGTAGACAGGTAACTATGGGGATAATAGATGCATCCTAGTCTAACTTCGGATAGGTCCCGCAAGTCGTCTGGAAATACTTTAGCCTCCGTCCCCTCTCTCTCATTGCACTGTGGACACAACGGGTGAGTGGAATCATATTCAATAAATTTGAACAGTAGGGTAGCGGAGATATTCCATTCGTTATGTTTAGTCGGGGCTAGTGGGTAGTTAGGTGAAGTGCTTATGAATAATATCGGTAACGGTGTGATCTGTGCCAGATTACTTAAATTCATTCATCTCTGTGTGTCCGTCGTTTTTGATTGAATTGACATGTGCAGTCTTTGGGGCAACAACATCACGTTCTCGTCGTGGCCGTGGATAACTCAAAGAACGGTTTATTACCAATCATATCTCTCAGTTCAATTGTTTCCTCTAAGAATGATCTTGTCGGCCGTCACCGAAAGAAACCTACACATACTACTACAAAACTTCTGGAAAGGTTTGGTGTAGAAAAGTGAAAAATTTACGTTACAAACTATCGAATCAATACTTTTACTTTGAAATAATCTTTTCTGTATTCAGGAAAACCAAAACTATAGATGAACGGCATGTTTATGCGATAATAAAAAAATTGTTGCTATTGCTGTAACCTATTTATGATGATACATACATGACATTAGTAATGGGATGATTCGTTACAAAGTTTATTTTCTCGACAGTTTGCAAATCGCGTTGAAAATTTTATATTCTTACAATTATTAGCGGAGAGATGTTCGTGCAACATCGTGATACGGAGGAAGTTGAATGTTCGGAGAACATCGATAGAGCATGATAGGAGAGTCCTCCCGACGCTTTCCTGCCTGCGACATCTATGAATGAGCTTTTTAGATTTCGTGGCCGCATGAAGACATCACTTTCTGGACAACATACAAGAATTTAGTATCGCATTGGAACATTTATGCCAATTCCTATGGCTATTCATTCTATTTTCTCACTGGAGAATATTGTGCAAGACTTCGAAGGTGACCTCGAAAATATTTCTCTGTATGCAAGTATTTGACTCTAGGGAGTTTACGGATATCACGCAGGTCAATTCATATTTTCTGTTTGCTGCATAACTTTAAATCACAGAGTTACTTTTGATACATTCTTCGAATTTTTTATTGTTTCTTTTACAACGGTATCTTCCTTCTGTATTTTTGATAATTGCATCTTTAGCGTTAATCATCAAAATTATCGTTTTTTAATGATGTTTATATAGCTTCCCACACAAGAATTAAATTTATTTAACGCATGTCGGTGAATAGGTCCCATCCGCGTAGAAAAAAAAGGGTCTTCGGAATATCTCTTCAAAATCTTTGCAAGAATTTTTGAAAGATTGGTCTGAAGATCTTCTTGGGGGCCCAAAAAGATTCTTCAGAAGACGAAATCCTTGAGACATATCTTCAGAAGTTATTCGGAAGAAAAATTACGAATATCTTTGAACACTTTTTTTGCCGATCTTCCGTAGCAATTTTTTAGAAGATCTTCAGCGATCAATTTTTTGGAAGATCTTTAAAGTATAAGCTACAGTAAATAACGATGCTTAGTGTCCGAACTGAGTAGCTATTAATGAATTTAACCGTTGAGTCATCTCAATCATTTTTGTGGTTGCTCATTTAACTGTACGGGCACCCCCTACTTCCCATTTCCTTCAAAAAGCACTTAATTTATAATTCAATAAACAATGTAAAGGGGTGTTGTTTAATACATTCAATGCGTGGTGAAGCACCTTTTTTAAAAAAAGATTCAAGCCTCACCAGTACTTAACATGACCCAGGGTTCGCGACGGAGACGCGACTGGTATGGACCCTGCCAAAGGTCGACTTGGACTGGTTTACTCCCTCCAGGTATATATCTAATTGAATCTAAATCAATTTTCTTCTTTGCTTTGATTTTAATAACTATTAAGGTGAGCAGGAGGGGCGATGAAAACCACACCGACCGAAGCCCTGGAAGTGGCAATGAACACACCACCACTTGATCTAGCTGTGCTGTACAAGGCAGAGGCAACCGC